GGGGCAGTAGGGAAGAGGTGGCTCTGAGGGCATGACTTGAGCTCTCTTTCCAGTGGTGGTTCCTGCAGTGCTGACCTTGGTGCCCAGGACCACCATGGGCACATCTCCAGGACTGGCAGCCCTGCCATGGGCTCTGAGCCAGCCAGGCACATAGAGCCTTCTTTTCCCAGAATTTCAAAGTCAGTGAAAGGCTTGGCTCCCCATCACCCCAGGCTCTGCCTCAGAGTGCACAGACCCCAGGCCAGTGGAGGCAGACAGGCTGGAGCCCCAGACGTCCTGGAGGTCACTGGCCAACGTCTTTTCTCTCTCTAACTGTTTCTAATGGCCACCCAACCCCACTCCAAAAGACCGCAGGTGGACCTTGGAGACCCTGAAATCCAAGAGGAGATACAGGACAGCAGAGCTGTACGTGTTAAATCGATTCTTGAGGGGAAGAAGGCCCCTGACTAGTTAGGAATATGGACGTCTAGATACTTGTGATCCCCTCTTAAAAACAGTTCTAACAAAAATGTAGTGAAAGTTGTAGACAACAATTATTAGAAGTAAGACAGTGCACGCCAGTGCTTTACCCTACTGTCCCTGTCCTTGTGAATTTTTTACTATTGTCATAATTTTGCTGTTGGGAGAAACAACAGGATAGGCAGTAATCTGGAGATATTACTCAGACCTAAAAGATGGATATCCTTTGATATAGCACTAGCATACCTGCTAATCTAACCCGAGGAAACAGGAGTGTCAGGCATGGGTTTAGCAGAGAAATGTCCAGCACAGCTGAAGACTGAAACCTCTGCACAGCACTAACATATTGATTAACTAAAAAATAACCCTTCAACAGAATAGCGCACAGCCATGGAAAACCATATTATCATTAGTAAAGAAGTTTATATTGCAGTTTGAAGAAAAAAGAGAGTCGAAGCAATTCCAGAAGGAAAAAAAAACTACCACATTAGAAGTGTTCTCTCTGAAATTAGAATTTGCAGATGACAATTCAGGCCACATTTCTCCCTCTGTAATTGCAGTTTTCAGGAGAGGGCCCTACTGGTAACATGGGGCTGCAATCGTTGGAGTGAGTCTCCCACGGCTGGGCGCAACTGGCCACAGCTCAGCCTTGCTATGCATGTGTGGTCTTTCTGATGGTGGAGGTCTTTCCTGGAGGCTTGAAACCCCTCAATACTTCATCTACAGAGCATGCTGATGGTGCTGGGAAGCCACGGCCCCTGGCACATCCTCCAGGCTGGAGGGAAGTCCCATCTCTCCTGAGGTCTTCAGGCTGAGTCATCCCTCACTCCCGAGCGGCATTCCTGGGGCACCAGTGAGATGCTCAATGCGCTTCTGTGGAGAGGCCTAGCCCGTGTCCCACAACCTCAGCTGGGAACAGTGTCCTTACCTTAACTCAGGGCCAAACACCTGCACCCAGCAGCCAGAGTCCCCTGAAGCACAACTTTCAGATGTGATCGAGGCCTGTGACAGGCTAGGCCACAGTGACCTTCCCCCTGGCTTCAGGAGAAGCAGAACTCTGCCATCAGTAGACAAAAAGGCAATGCTGTCTGCTGGGAAGCGGTGGTCCTCTCACCTCTGGGGTCTTCTTCAGGTCAGAAGCTCCTGGAAACGGTTAATCCTCTTCCGGGGGAATCAACATAGAATCTGTTTAGCCAAGATCTAAAGATTTCCACACTGTGTTTAAAAGATGATTATCTACCTTGCTTTGGAACAGACCTGGTGTCCTAGTCGGAGAGGAAATTGGGCAAAGGGAGCCTGTGGGGAGGCTCTGCAGGGAGGCTCTCCTGGCCCAGGAGCCTGGGGTGAGTGCTGCTGGCAGCCAGGAGGTCCAGTGAGGAGCCGGGGTTTCAGACAGAAAACAAGAACCCCGAAGATGTTAAGGTTCACAAGAACCTGGACGGCCCAGGTGGGCATGTGACGTGCCGTGTGACGTGCCATGTGCAGGCATTCATTCAGTAGCCACCCTCACTGCTGGGATGGCCCTGGTGCCTACTCCAAAGCTAAGCCATGAGTTCCCCCATGTGTCTTTTCATGTCTAGTCCCTGAACACCACAACACACGCTCAACAACCTCCCTTTCTGTAGGAAAACAATGGCGGCAGCACCTGCCTGCAGTCATGAACACAAGCTCCCCAGAACTACCTCGCAGTGTCCGGCTCCATTCATGAGGACGTGGCTGTCCCTGAAGCAGCAGTGTTAGATACAAAATTCAGATGCCAGAATCTGCACAGTCACATTCCCACAGAAACCCTGCCCACTCCTGAGCTGACCCCTGGCTGCTGCTTCTTCTCATGCTGGTGCATTGTTGGTTGGGGAGAGATTTTATACATTGACACCAAACTGGGGGTGACCACTGAGTCTCCCTGCATGGTTTTGGTTCTTGGCATAACAGCTCATTATCTACCTCTTCCATGCAAGATGCTGAATCTCTCACAACTACAAAATCTCACATCGACTTTCCTTCATTTCTAGTCCTCACTATTCTGAACACTTCAGTGGCAATACCCAAAATTGGTTTTGGCTCTCTAGGCTGTGAAAATGTAACAGCTTGTGAAACCAGAATGTGAGATTTAGAACTCATGTTTCTTGTCTTGGTAATTGATCACAGCCTTTTTACAATGATTTCTTGATTTGTAAAATGATGTCAATTCATTTAAAAGATGAAACAAGTAAGGCATCTACAATTCCTGCATAGTATATGTAACAAAGGGCCATATGGAAAAAAAAAAAAAAAAACGAACTTAAGGCAGGTGTCCCCATTCAGCTCGAGGCTATGTGGGAGCTCACCACAAACAACCCCAAAGTTACCCGCTCACATTTTCTCCACATAACCAAGTCAGTGAGGTCAAAACAGCACTCAGGCTGCTGCCCTGCAGCTTTCTGCAAGTCCTCTGATTTGAAGTGTCAGGACTATAAAAACAATCCCACTTAATGGGTCGGGTAGTATGCTGGAGGCTAGACCTACAAAACTGTGCTTAATCCACCCGCAAGGATCCACTTAGATTTTACTTTCAAAACGTTTTAGATTAAAATCACCTAAACTCATTCAGCTAGTAAATTGCAGGCTCTAGAGAGATCCAGGGCTGCGCAACCTCAGAGCAGGGTTTCTCACCAGCAGCACTGTTGGCATTTGAGGCTAGGTAAGTGTCTGGGAACTTTGCACTCTGGCTCTCAGCAGTCTCCTGGCCCATGTTTCCTTCTTACTAATGAACTCCTGAAGGTTCCCAAAACAGTTGGGTAGGGTGGGGCATCTGCACATGGGTCCCCCTGAGAACCACTGCTCTAGGACCAGGGACTTGGCCCATTCCCTCCTTTAGATCCACATGCAAATCTCCCTCTCCAAGGGGGATTCCTCAACTGTTCCCTATTTGTTTCTTCAATTTTTTTTATTTTAAAATGTTAAATTACAATAACAACACATGCTCATCATAGCAGATGAAATTCTATATAGTAACTATGTATATTTCATATTCATACAAACAAATCTGTACAGAAACAGTTGTCTCTTCCTCTCTTCTGTGTGGCCCTTTCTGCCTGTTCCCAATTGGGTGATAAGATAGCCTTGGAAAATTGTTCTATTTTCCAATCAAAACACATACAGTATTTCCCATTGGATGGTATGGAGACCTCTTACCTCCTCTAGAATGAGCTTACTGGAAAGAGTTCATGAATGAAGGTACCAAGAGCCCAGGAGCATTGGGGAACCTTGAACAATAGGCTCTAACCTGCCCAGCCCAATTTATGGCCTCTAAAGGTAGTGAATCTAGGTGCCCACTGGGCCTTTGGGTGGGAGATTAAGTATTGGTTAGAGCTGACTCCAGCCTTGCCTTTGGGGCCTGGTGAAGGGTCTAAGCAGATATTAATGGTTTCTTCTCTTTCTTGAAGTATAAAATAGGAAGACAAGCCAGGTGCTGTAGTGCACACCTGCAATCCCAGAGGCTTGGAGGGCTGAGGCAGGAGGATCGCAAGTTCAAGCCCAGCCTAAGCAACTTAGCAAGACACTGTCTCAAAATAAAAAATTTAAAAAGGTTTGGGGATGTAGCTCAGTGGTAAAATGCCCCTGAGTTCCATCTCCAGTGCCAAAACAAAACAACCAAAAAACTGTCAGCATAAGTTTCTGGGGTTGACACTCAGCTTCCTGCTGCCAGCAAGTCCCAGGGGAAGGAGGCTGTGGAGAGGTGTGCCTTGTCCCCTTATTAAGAGATCACCTATGACTCCACCTCTCTCCCACTGGCCAGTGGACTTGGCCCATTCCCTCCTTCAGATCCACATGCAAATCTCCTTCTCCAAGGAGGAGAGGGAGGTAAGAGGTCTCCATACCATCCAATGGGAATACTGTATGTGTTTTGATTGGATACAGTCCCAGGCAAGAGAGGGTCTCTGGGGAAAACACTCCCTTCTTGAAAGGGCGCACCTCCAGATGTGCCAAGGAGGCATCTGCCCTCTAAGTTGAAAGGCATTTTGAGGACAGAAGGTGCTGGAGAACAACTGAGGGTAGGAAAATTCCTGCTCTGGAAGACAGGGTGTCCTGCTGAACAGGCAACAGTGCATCCCTTCAGGCAGGGCTGGGGTGCAAACTCCCACCTTAGAGCAGATTTTGAGCAGGAAGGCCCCAGACAGTTTTCTTCAGCCAGGTGGTAATGTGCACTTTAAAAATGCATTTATTTTCAAATGGAGGGAAGACCCTATTTGGCTTAATTGGGAGGGGCCTCCAGGGTACCTTACTAGCCTCTGGGAGTGAGAGCCCTGCTTCTGCAATTGGGGTAGCTTATATACAATCTCAGTTTCCAGTGGGAGGGGACTTAGTGAGTCATTTTCTCATATCTTTTCCCAACAGCTCAGGGTACCTGATTCATAAACACGGGTCAATAGCTAATTGCTGGAATGAATGAATGAACGAGGCTGTTCCTGCGTGGCCCTAAGGCTAACCCTCTGCCAACTTTGCACCAGAGGCCAAGGGTCCCTCCCGTGCTGCGCCTGGGCGGCGCTGCCAGCGCTCACCTTGTGCTGTTTCCACGTGGCCCCCAGCGGCTTCACCTCATGCTTGCCATGCCGGCCCTCTTCTAGACACAGGTAGCACACCGGGCTCCGGCAGCTCACGCAGTACATGCTGTAGTTCTCCATGTCATGTTCCGGACACGTGGGAAACTTCCGGGCCGCGCTGGCCCCAGCGCCCCCTGGACTTTTGCAGCCGCTGCCGGTGCTGGGGGTCGCGGCGACGCTGGGCGGAGCCGCTGCCGCCTCAGGTGGCGCGGGCGGTGGCGGTGGCTGCACCAGGCGATGCTTGGCGAAGGGGCCCCGGGAAGGGTGGCACTTGAGCTGGCAGGCGGCGCAGTAGAGCACGTCGCACTGCTCGCAGAGCGCGGCTGCCGGCTCCGGCGGGGTGCGGTCACACAGCTGGCAGACGGCCACCGCCGGGGCTGCAGACGCCCCCGGCGCGGTCCCGCGTCCCTGTTGGTACCGCTGCACGATGGCTTCCAGTAGTCGGTTGCGCTGAAAGCCGCGCAGGCCGCGGTGGTCCAGGGAGGCGCTGCGGTGGCACTGCGGGCACGTGATGGAACTGGAGGAGGACGACAGGGAGGAGCAGGCGGCACCTCGGGCAGCCGCGGCGGAGGAGCCGGGGGGCGCCGGCACCATGGGTAGTACGCGGACCCCGTTGGGGGACTTGAGGCTCGGGGTGTAGGAGCCATAGCCGCTGTCCGTCTCGCTGTACAAGCTCAGCTTGTCTGCGTGGTCCCCGCCACCTGCCGCTCCGCCGCCCAGGCCGCCCGCAGCGTTTGCGCTCGCGCCGCCGCCGCAGGCCGCGCCGGCTGCAGTGTCTTGATCCGGAGGGGGCGCGGCGGCGGCTCCACCCCGGGAAAGCAGGAGCGGTGGGGACAGGTGCTGCTCGCCGTCCGGGGTCTGCACAGCAATGGTGCGAGCGCACGGGAGGCAGACATTATGGGAACAGGGCAGGATGATGGGCTCGCGAAACAGGGAACCGCACACCGGGCACTTCAGCTCCTCCTCCATCGCCGCTCCCGCAGCCTGAGCTGCTTGCGGCCGGGGAGGAATGGCCAAAGCTTCGGAAACGGGCGGCGGGGGCCGAGTGTGGTCAGCGCCGGTGAGACGGAAGGCCTGGGCATCACACGGGTTTGCCTCCTTCACAAACTGGGGCACGCCCCTCTCGGTCCTGCGGCCAACGCCCTAAGACTCCTGGGGGCTATGGAAGGGAGGGGTCCTCACCTCCTACCCACAAGGCTCCTGAACCAGCTCCTTCAGCCTGCGGCCAGAGTCCAGAGGTTGCTGGCTGCTCTCGCGGTGGTCTGCAAGGAGCTCCAGGAGATGAATCAGCAGCGCCTCCGTCGGCTGCCGCGCGCCTCCTCTGTACACCGGACCAGCGGTCGGCTGCGGTTGGCCAGCTCCGTTTCAGCTCCTGGCTCCGCGGGGCGGCTGTCCCGAGTCGTCCTTCTGCCCCGGCCCCGCCCCTATCGGGCGCGAGCGCAGGCCGCTCCGCCCGGGCTGGTTCAGCACTACGAGGTGGCGGACAGCGGCTGCCAGCGGACAGTGACCGTGGGGTCCCAGCTCCCGCGTGCGCAACGCGGGCTCGCCCGCCGGGTCCGCTGTGCCGGGCCACCTCGGCAGCCCCTCAGCTGCGGACCGGCCAGCTGCTCCCGGGGCTACCTCCCCGCGGCCGGCGTTGACCCTCGTCCCTAGCTCGAAGCGGCTGCTCCTGCGGCGCCCCTGACCTTGGCCGCGCGACGCTGCGGCGGCGGGCGGGGGGCGAGCGCCCGCTGGCTCGGGAATCCCCTCCCTGCCCCGCCACCTCCCGCGCCCGCCGCGCCGCGCGCCCAGGAGTTGTAATTTCCCGAGCCGGGAGTAACAGGGCGGAGGGGGAGGCGCCAGCTCAGCGAATAAGGGCTCGCATCTCGCTGCTGGGAGTCAAGGGGCAATTCGAGGATTTCGCAGGGAGGATCATTGTTAATAACAACCCATTATTTGCATGGAGACTGCATCGAGAATTAGCACGACGCCCTGCCCCGCCCCGCCCTGCCCCGCCCCTGCCGTTCTGTCCCTGGTCCCGGCTCGCCAGAATACAAGGGCAAAAACCAAGCCCTAAAAGGTCAGCCGTTTAGAAAGGTACCGGCGACACGGCTTCCTAAGTCATGATTAAGCAAAAAGAAAAAGAAAAAAAGCCAGTCACAAAATGTCGGACAACCTGGAGCCAAAGGGCGAGGTTTTACATGTGAATCCAAGCACAAGCCATTTTGCCTCCTCGTTTCGATCCGGAGTGCTCGTCCGCGGGCAGTTCGGGGTCTGCACCCCAGACGAGAACGAGTGGGCTTTGCAGAACCGGCTTTCTGGTCCCACCAGAGCAGGCGCGCGAGCGGCCTCGGCCGGGCACCGCGCGGGGTCGTCCCGGCTGCAGGGCGGCGGGAATGCGAGGTCCCCCCGCGGCCGGGCGGTTCCGACTCCACCGCGGGGTGGTGCGGGCGCGCCCGGGAAAGGGCTGGCGCGGGGGCTTTGGCCACGGAAGTCCGCGCGGGCAGGAAACCCATGCAAATTCGGAAACCGTGTTTAGAAACGTTGTGCCCGCGGAGCAGCGCGGCGCCCGGCTCCCCGGTACTCCAAACAAAGACCGCAGGCCCGCGCCGGCGTCAGCGAGCGGGTCGGAGTCTGCCAGTGCGCGGCGAGCGCGGCGCCGCTGCGGCCCGGGTAGGAGGAGGAGGCAGCCCTCTCGTGGCCTGGAGTCTCGGGAGGGGAACGGCCCACGGGGAGGGACGCAGCGCTGCGCCCCAAAGAGACTCAGACCTCGGAAATCAGGACTCCCTGGGGACACGGCGCCCGCCCTAGCAGCTTGCTTAAGCTTTCCCTGTCTGGGATCATAATAAACGCACGCATGGGAACCAAGTGTGATCTTTGTAAACACGGGCGCCGCGGCTTCTGTGTGCGTCTTCAGTTCAGCTTTACCCCTGCTGAGCAGCTTGCTTTGGCGGCAAAGTTCAAGAGCAGGCCGACCTGAGGCCAGATGGACACCATACTGGACTAAGCAACCTGGCTCAGCAAGCCCCAGACATCAGTATCCCCAGTGGGAGATGGTGACAACCCTGTCCTAATGGGCCTTCTGTGATTGGAGCCCCATCCTGCCTGCAATGCTTTGATAAGCCCAGGAGAAAGTGGCCTCCTGCCTGCAATGGTTTGATAAGCCCAGGAGAAAGTGACCGTGGAACCCAGAGTCACCAAGTGCAACTGAAGGCACTTCAAAGTGCACTTTTTTGGTGACTCAAGCAGGACTTCACTCACCCAGCCCAGCTCTCTGGTGACTTCAGGGGAAGTCATGCCTCCTGTAGTTCCAGGGTAAACAGGCTGGTCCCTGACCACCACTCTACTTGACTCCTGCTTTGTCACTTTCGCATCCAGGACCACACTGCTTGGGTTTGGGTAGGTGGCCTCCTGAAGGGCACCCTGTGTAAGCCCCTCCTTTGCTCAGGCTGAGCATGGTTTTGTCACCCCTGAGGAGGATGCTTATCTAACACATCCAATTCCTGCACCTGTGCATTCCACGTGCGCCCTCAATCTGTGCCGCCCCATTTCCACAACCTGAACCAGCTGTGTACTGCACAGTGCCTAGGGCTTTGCCTCTTTGGAGGACTGGCATCCTACCACAGCGATTGCTAACAATTGTCAACATCATCTATTAAAGATTCACTTTCTGACCCAACTCTGCCATGACCATAAGTATAGAGAGAAGTCACTGGTTTCTCTGGACCTTGGTTCTCTCCTTTTACATAATGATGCAATAGAACTTCAAGTTTTCTCCTGGTTCTAGAGTCTGTACAGGAGGAGGTAGCAGCCCTTGCCTGGCTCGGTTCCTAGGGACAGGAACAGCCCACTGGAGAGAGGCCACAGGGAAAGGGGGCATGGCACCGTGTTGTTAAGAAGGAAACATCCAGGCTGGGGTTGTGGCTCAGTGGTAGAGTACTCACCTAGCACATGTGAGGTCCTGGGTTCAATCCTCAGCACCACATAAAAATAAACAAATAAAATAAATGTAATGGATCCAAATAAAACTAAAAAATAAATATTAAAAAAAAGAACAAAACCTCCCACCTTGGCCATACCTGTCATCCTACCTGCTCCAGAGGCTGAGGCAGGAGGATCTCAAGTTCAAGGCCAGTGATTTCTGGGCAACTCAGAGAGATCCTATCTCAAATAAGAATGAAATATCTCCCTTTTTAAAAAGTGAATTTCAAAAAAAAAAAAAAGAGTGAATTTCATAAAGAAATTTGATGCAGGTGCTGTGTGATACACTCATGTCCCAGGTCACAGGTGCACCAGTAAAGCCAGGGCTGTGCCCATGAGGCAGGTGGCTGTGCTCTGTGTGACACTCACAGCAGAAGCCGTCTCTTCCTAGTTCTACTTCTGCCTCCCAGCTGGGGAAGTGAGCATCACCACTGGCCCTCAATGTTAGGGTGTATGTGGTTTTAAGTTACAATGGTCACAATGCTGCTGAAATCCGCCCAGCCTTCTCCCCACTTTTGCCCTGGTGGTTGCTTGGTGAGCTGATGGTGCACCTTACCATCATCCACAGTCATGGAGAGTGCATTGATGCCCAACCCTCCTGCCAGCAGGGACACTCTGCAGGAGTCACCCCGGCCTGGCTTTTACCCTAAGTGTCCTAGAAACCCTCAAGAGACAGACTCGAGTTACTTCTCCAAAACAAGCACAGCTCAGTTAAATAATTTAGCTCGGGCTGACACAGCAAGCCAGAAATAAAAGGCAATCTGTGAAGACTTCCGGACCCTTGAACTTCAAGCCTAGGTAGAATGGAGCTTAAGGCTTATCAGCTAAAAATAGATGCCACAATCTTGAGTGCAGCAATCTCTTAAACAAATTCTAAACGAAAGTCTATGGTATTTTTTTAGTTGAATGTTTTGGGCATTTTTATGGGGTGTCATTTGAGATTTGAGTTTCCTGTTTGCTAAACTGAAGGAAGATTTGGGGAAATTATTAGGAATCTGCAGCCCAGGAACCACATGGCCCAGTGCAGTTTGATGGGAAGGAAATGACTGCTCCCTGGGCTGTGCCCTCCAGATGGGCCTCTGCGGCAGAGAAGAGCAGAAACACAGTCAGAGCAGCTAGGTGGCCTCCGAGGGTCTCACACCTTGCATATGTCTGAGACCAGCATGTACGGGAGGGGGGAAGGGGCCTATAAAATACCCCTCCATCCTGACGATAATTTCCTTTCTTTATTCCTCCCACCTCTAACACTAGCTGGGGTGGAGGTTGGCCTGTCTGCCTATTGAGAAGTTAGGGACCAGCTGACTGAGATAGATGCTTCAGAAACCTCTGGAGATTGTGATGGTGCTTAGGCTTGACCTGTCTCCATGGGACCCTGCCTGGGACTATTTGTGCTTTTGCCCTTTTTGTTCTTGGGTGCTGCTTTCTGCCCATAGCTTGGCCTTTTCGTCTGTTAAGCTTCACCTCTCCCTTTCTCTCCCACAACCACCAGCGCTTCCCCCTGGTGGGCTCCCTGCTCCCAGCCACAGCTATGGGAGCTGACTCTGCCATGTCCTCTTGTCTCCACTCCACACTCTCTGTAACAGAGCAGTGAGGTGTCAGGATGCCTATGGCAGGGCCTGAGTGTAGCCCCCACCCCCCACCTGGAAACAAAGAGCAGCCCCCTCCCCCATGGCCTGTGAGCCCCCGTGGAGCCACAGAGCAGGTCCAAGTTGGAATGAGAGAGGTCAAAGCAAGAGTGCAGGCCCTCACCTGGAAGTTTCTTCTGACTCTGAGGCCTGTGTTGGGCATCTCCCCTCCAAGGCTCTGGCGCCCCGGGGTGCCACACCCACCTCCTGGAAGGCCATCTTCAGCATGACTCGGAGTTGGGAGTGGCTGCACTGGGTGCAGTGTCTTCAGCCTCCTAACACTGACCAACACAGTGTGACAGACTCTGCCCACAGATCCCTCCAGAGTGGATGGGAATCCCACAAACCTCCCGGTGTTGCTGTGAGGTGGTGGGAGAGTATGTTTGGAAGCTGGGCCACGTGGGGTGGAACCCCAGCCCTCCTGCTTACTAGTGGGCAGGCTTTGGAAGACGCTCTCAGTGACTTGGGTTCCTCAGCTATAAAACAGAAACTTAGGAAGTGTACATCTCCACTGGAGGAGGCAATTCAACAAGCAACTCAGGCAAAACATGCCGCGCAGTGGGTGCGTGGGCTGCTCAGCAGATGCCAAGCCTTGTTGTCTCTGTATGTTCAAACTCCGCCCCCCACACGTTGACTTGGGGACAGGCACATGGCTGGTTCTCAGCAGACACTGTGTGCACTGTGTGGCGGGAGCAGCAGACACACCTGAGGAGGTGGGAAGCTGTACCTGTCTGCGGGGAGTGAGAGGGCCGGTGAAGAACCCGGATGATAACCCTGCCAGGAAGCAGGTGCAGCCCCCAGGGAGGACACAGCCCCCAGGGAGGACACAGCCCCCAGGGCCTCAGGCAGCTCTCACAGTCAGGTCAGCAGGAGCCATGGTTGGCAAGAAGAAAGAAAGAGACATTTAAATATGGACACCATACATAGTTAATCGCTACTATAGGTTTTTAAAGCTTCTAGTGAGAAAAACTTAAGAAATTATGACCCCTAGAGCTGGGGTTGTGGCTCAGTGGCAGAGTGCTTGCCTGGCATATGTGTGGCACTGGGTTCAATTCTCAGTGCCACATGTCAATAAAGAAAGGAAAGAAAAGAAAGACCCATCAACAACTGAAAAAATAAAAAAAGAAATTATGACCAGCTAATAACTCTACACCATTTACTCATAAGTCACAGGATAGCATTTTATATATTAATCAAAATAGGCTCAATATCTTTTCTATTTTCAATAATTTCTCAAGCTCTTTCTATTTCAACTCAGCACTCATTGCAAAGGAACAATGGTCATGGTCGTAGTGAAACCAGTTTCCCTCTCCTGCTGGCAAAGGGTCCTGGGGTCTGTGCACACTGCCAGCTTCTGTAGCAGAGAAGCATCACAGTTCTTAACCGTGGGCCCTGCCCTTCAG